GCAACCCTTACCTTTAGACACTGCTCATGAAACAACTGTCCCTGTGAGAAACCTTCTGAGTTGAAAGTTTTCTTAGCCACCCTTTGCTCAGCAGGCTCTTAAAGACAGGCAGATCAAATGACTTGGCACTGTCTTGCTGTCGTGTCAGTAAAAAGGACTATATGATGACCTAATGGAAGTTTTGCAGCCCTTACTACCTATAGACACTCTCATCTTATGCAGCTGCCAAATTCATTTGCAAGGGTAAGCAACTGCCTTGATACTTGCCAAATGTTTCCACTGCCATAATAGCCCAGTATATTCAGTGATGTGTACCCCATCCTAGCTGCTGAATCTTTCTACATTTTTTTGTAAGCACAGGGGTGCCAGGGTTCCATTTTAACTTTGATTCAAATCTTGCAATCATCCTCTTCTTCTCAAGGATTTTCAGGCTCCTAGGTGATTGCAAATGCTAACCACAGGTCTCTGCAGAGCTGGTTTGCTTGCATATTACTAAACAGGAACAGAAGTCCTTCAGACTTATCCTGGGGCTACCACTTTGTGGGCAGAGCACCTTCACAGAGCTCTGCAATCTGGTGATTTGATTTTTTTGCACTAGAAGGTCCCAGCCTAAATCACTTAAACTGGTGTCATTCCTTTCAACATTCATGTTTGTTCTCTGTTCCAATGGCATCTTTCAAGACACATTCTTTCTTAGGGCATCCTCAGTTTTCTCAAATGTCTTTTTCATGTACCTTATAGTGATTCTTTTTTTAAGACTGTCATGGAGAGATTCTTCCTCAGTTCTGTGTGACAAAAGATCCTCCCTCTCCCTTCAAAATGTTCCCCTGATTTAAGACATTCTCCTTTTCAGGGTGTTCTGTCTTATAAGGTGTCTAAATTTACATGGGCCACTTGAGGCACTTAGTGGCTGTGATACAAACTTATCACTTGTAAAATTTGTGGCCATTGAGCTCTTTCAGCAATCCACAGTGATTTGGCTACTTTAATTCCTGACTGTATCATAGCTGTGATTCATTCCTCTCAATAGTTCTCCAGGATGCACTGTTTGTATCATTTTCTGGTATTAATTCTAGACTTTTTCACAGCAAAATCAGAAGGTATAGAAGGCAGTGAAGTGATGTAAGGGATGCATATATGTTTATTTTTTTCAGTGGTAGGCAGAATTTCTCTCCTGCTACCTGTGGTTTGATGTTCCTTCAGTTGTGGTAATAGAAGTCTTTAGGAATATGGTTTGCAATTCACCCTACAACGATCCAAATAGAGTCTGAAGAAGCTTTTTCAATATATTTCTTTTTGTGAGTTATTTGTTCTGTGGCATACTGGATTAGGGAACTGCTGGTGATTAAAACTAACCCAGCTCAGAAAAAAAATGATTAATATGAGTTGTCCAGGTTTGTGAGTGCTCATATCAGCACAGTTAAGGGGCAGGAACATGACACAGTTGGGGGGAGGCAGAAATTACTGTTTTGACAATGTACCACATCTATGTTGACTTAAACCAATTATTAAATTCACATTAAATTCTTATGCTTGCAAAATAAATAGATTATTCTGTAGCTAAATCATCTTGCTGAACTGGCTGTGCACTGTGTTGCATAAGTGCAAGTGTTGGTGGAAGGTGTAGGATGAAGGGTGGATTGTGGCAACATCTTTGGTTTTTGTAATTGTCTTGGAGCTACACCTGCTGTTTTAGCTTGAAGATGTCTATATGTATCGGTAATATCCAGGCTTTTCACATTCTGTGATTTCTTATCCAAGCGCTGATATAACCTTAGGCTGATGAGCAGAACTATTTTAAAATGGGAAAAAAATAGGAAGGAAAAAAAATCTTGGTTGGCAGCCAGCTTAATTTTTTACAAGGGTTATTTTACACTCATGCAGAATAATATGTAATTCAGTCATTTTATCAGGCTTTTGCTCAAAAGAAAACTTTATAGCAGTATTTTGCTATAATTACATTAGTGTGGAAACTTAGTTTCTCTAGCAACATTAGGCACTAAGGTAATAAAGTAATACAAGTTTAGATAAGTCTAATATTGGGAGTTGCTGTATCTGGTACCCCACTATAGAGGAGACTGCTGCAGCTCCTTGTGGCCAGAACAACAAGGGTGTATCTTTAAGAGGCCCATGTGCACACTATATGTGTATATACAGACAGAATCAAAAAGTTCAGCACTCACGCAAATACAAGCAGCTTCAATGGCCTCATCCTTTCCATTCACTAGCTGACTATGAAGAAAGCTTGTTTCTGGCAAATGCTTATGTACACAACATGGATCCTCCAGCAAGAGGCCTTAAATTCTTACTGTGCTCAGTTACTGGTCCCTGGATCCCCATGTCTCCCAGCTGACAGGCAAACATGCATTGAGTCTCTGGTAGCTGGTCTGACCTGGCCCCAGGTGTCCCTCCAGTAGCCAAATCTCAGACCTTCTGGTCTCTGCAGCATCTGGCCCAGACTCATGGTTGCTTGGCTCCCAAGCCTTCTGCATGGCTGTTCTGGTTGGGGTTTGCCCGAGGTCACACACTGGCACAGCTATCCAGGCTGGGTGCCTGGGCTCCAGCCTCTGCCTTCTGGTGCCTCTGGGCCCCTGCCACCCGCGGTGGTACAGCTCCAGCTGCTGGCATCTGTGTTTCTGTACATGGTCACACCCAATGGAGATTTTCCCTCACCGAGGAAAACAGTTACAAATGTAGTTTAACAAGCAGATAGGACAATCTGCAGTGCTCAGGCCCAGGGCATGGCTGAACCACCACACTGGGCAGCCACCTGCTTACATACACCTGGCCCCTGGTAGCCCTTTCCCCCCACTCCCCATATCCTCCTATGCTTGTTCTTTCCCAAACCACTTTCATGGTTCACTGTCCCTTGTGTTGCCTTCAGTTCTTCCTCTAAATATCCTGTACTGCCTTCTGCAATCCCCAAATACTCTTTCTGGCATCTGACAATGAGTCCCATATCCAGTGGGCAGTAACCCCCTCCCTAGGTCTGTGAGGTGGTCTAGAGAGCCTCTCCTGTGGACTCTGGGTCTCTCTCGCCCCTGGGGCCTGGGAGCAGCTGGACTGAGGGCTTGGTTTCTTTCATTTGGCTTGTTGGGGTTCCTCTGCCCCACACTGTTCATTTGTGCTCTTTGAGTCTGTGGGGAGGAGCCTTTAATCACTGACTTATTTTTGTCTTAAAAAGTCAAGAGTCCGGGTGGGCACTGCACAACTGCTCAACAGTGGAGGGTGCAGCATAGGCTCACCTGTGACTCCTCAATGCTGATACTGCCAGAGTCTGAACTATGTGAAGCCCATCCAATTTTTGTTCAGTTACTGAAGAACAACTAAGAACATAAATTAAAAAAACCCCAAAACTCTAACCACCAGCTTTATATTCTTAATATTAGTAATGCAATGGGAGGGGAAATAGGAAAGGATTAGGTGTTTATAAGTAATGGTTTTCATACAGTGCTTCTAACCACAAGAGTATTTTGTTTCTCAAATTTAAGTGTAATAGGCTTCAGACTATAAAATGCTTTATTTAATCTTGGCTTGAAAGCAATGCCAGAGAAGTGGACTGGTCACAATTTTGTTAGGTGGTACTGACAAGCCAAGTCTTAGAAATGGTTCCAAAAGTGCTTGTTATTCTAAATGCTAATTGATTTTTAGCAGTTAAAAGTCTCCCTTTGTTTAGTGTGAATTTCTTGTTTTGAATGCGGCTTGTGTCTGCTTTGGGATTTTTCCCCTTAGAGCAAACAAGTTTATACCTAGATCTTTATAGCCTTAGGATATTTCAAGCTATAATTATTTCTCTTTCCTTCCCCCTGCTTCTAGGCTCCCTTGTTTTCAAGGCTGGACATGTTAAGCTTAGGAAGCTGTTGCCACTATCTCAAGTGGTGTTTGTTTCCACCCTCCGGACGCTTTCAGTGGAGTACGTCATTTTTCAAACTTAGTTTTTGCTTTTTGTACTTGAGAACACCTTTCCTTCTATCTACTGTGTTTTCTCTTTTTCCAATTTGTTGCTTTAGTTTAGACCACAGAAATTTAAAGCCTTGCATGCGTTTTTATGTGAAGGCTTGCTTTAAGGTGATACGTTGTTGAGCAAACATTAGGAATGGAGGCACATCTTGTTAATAAAAATCAGATTTTTTTTTTTTATCCTGGAAAAACGCCTGGATAAATATAATAAAAGTCAGTTGTTTGCTGGTGGATATTATGAAAACCCCAGTATCCACACGCTGTAACGCACTCGGTAATCTGTCACGGCCGCGGGCAGCCCCAGCCCTTGCGGGGCCGGCTCGCAGCCCCGGCCGCAGGGCGAAGCCGGGGTTCGCCCGGGAGCCGCCTCAGGGCCGGCGCGGCGGCGCTCGGGGCCCGCTCTCACCGAGGCGTTCGCGCCGCTCCTCCGGCGCCGGAGCTCGGCCGGGGAGCGCAGCGGGCTCTTTAAGAAGCCCCCGTGCCGGTGGCTGTCGCCGGCTGCCAAGTGCGGGAGAAGCCGAGCTTTGCGGCGAAGCCCGAGCGTAACCAGCCGGCTGGGGGAGATGCCGCCCCGCAGTGACTGACAGCAGGACCAGCTCTATGCAAATGGCGCCGGGGGCTCTGCCGGGGCTCTCTCTCTCCACACGCGCCGCCGCCTCTCGCCTCCCGCTCCCCGTAACGCGCCCTGCCTCGCACAAAGCAATTGTTGCTTTTTTGGAGGGGACGTCGTTACACGTAAAATCATCTCCAGCACGGTTTCAGTTTGAGATTGTGTGAGGGAGCTGGGAGATGTGTCAGAGCTTGTTACTCCAGCTAAATTAGGTAATTTTTAGCTGGGTAACGTGCTAATCTTTAAACCTTTATGTTTTTAAATCCTGCATATGTCTGGTCTCTTCATACAAAAGTGTATTTTGCTTGTTTCTTCTCGCCTTCTTCAGTCTGAAGCCTTATGTAGGTCAGGCTTGGCTTAAGCAGATTTCCTGAACCTGCGTCAGCTTAAGCTGAAGGAATTTTAATAAACCCTCCCTTGTAGGCGTGGGCCTAAATGAGACTAGCCTAGTTAAGCCTGATCTTTTTCTGTTTGTGAAAAAGAGCTGAGCAGAGCTAGGGACTGCATGGTGGCTCCAGGAACGGCTTCCTTAATTCAAAGATAACAATGGTTGGGAAGGCCAGATCTTCTAATTTTACCTTATCTGAAAAGCTTGATTTGCTAAAACTCGTGAAGCCGTATGTTAAAATTCTCGAGGAACATACCAATAAGCATTCTGTAATAGTGGAAAAAAACAAATGCTGGGATATTATAGCTGATAACTACAATGCCATCGGAGTAGATCGCCCTCCTCGTACTGCACAGGGCCTGCGCACGCTGTACAAGAGGCTCAAAGAATATGCCAAACAGGAGCTATTGCAGCAAAAGGAGACTCACTCAGATTGTAAAAGCAGCATTTCCGAGCCAACCAAGAAAGTTGTGGAAATGATTCCACAGATTTCCAATGTGTGTTTAAGAGACAGGAGCGGTGTTCAAAGGTGAGACAATTCTTTTTATTTTGTTACTGAATGAAAATTATGGCGCCTCCTATCTACTTTGTAATGCTTTTGCTTGTGCTCAGGCTCCTAAAGGAAGTGTTTATCAGAGAAAATTCCCAATTGGGAAACAATGACAAAAATAATACTGCTGTTGTTTTATGAGAACCTTTATGTTGACTTAGCATTGCATTCATTTTTTTCAGCTCTTTCAAAGCTTGTTTCAGAGTCTTTGTCATACTCTGGAAAGTGAGGGTTAAGAGAGAATCAAAGAGAAATAGTAGCTCCAACCTCTATCCCTCCCCTACCTTTTAATAGGCAGATTATCCAAACACTGGCAAAGTGATGGCTATTCTCCTCCATTTAAGGTAATACTGCAGTCATTTTGCAACATATGAAACTGTTACCAGTTTATATAGGATTTTTAATAAAGTTAGTTCATAGAGCCAAGAAATCTTATTCACCTTTTTTCTCTCATTTACTTTTGTGTTTGCATGTTATGTTTTAGCTAATCCCGAACCTTTAAAGAAAAAAAAAATTGATTCTCCACACTGCAGTGCCTTTGTGAGTGCAAATGTTTTTTTAAATTATACTTTTCTGTACTGACGATGGTTCCCTGAAGCTGGAGCAAAGCTAATTGCAGTCTAAACTCCGAGCAGTTTTGTGTCATATGTGAGGTAGTTTAAATACAGAGAGAAACTGAGAGGTACAGCACTAGAAGTTTTCTTCTTTTTTTTTTTGTAAGGTTTCTTTTTTTTACTGCTCAGTAAAGTGAGACACACTGTCTAGATTTGAGCCAGACATAATACAGGCAGGCACTGTGCAAGCTTTCTCCCACAGCTGGCTAATGCCCCTCATATCTGACTTGCAACACTCTGCTGGTTCTGTATTGGTCCTTGAGGGATCAAAAAATGCCTGGGTCGGATTTTGGTTCCTCCAGATACAAAAACTAAGCTAGGGAGTGGGGGAGGGAAGTCAAATAACTCCCCAGCAACCTTGAGAAAGCTCTGATTTTTCTTATTTTCCCAAGCAGATTAATGGGAAGCGAACTTTCCATATTTTAATCAGATATACTGATAGTGAGTGCAGCAGCGTAACGCTCTAAGAAAAGCTGGCATGCGCACACTCGCTGAATTGGATTCATGGTGCCACTGGTTGAACTGAATGGTAACAATTGTCTAAATCCCAACATGCCAGATGCTCTAAAAATATTCTGTTGTGGGTCCTTTGCGTAAAGAAGTCTAAAGCAACTGGACTGTGCTGCTGCTCCTGATGAATGCCCCTGGAGGAACCATTCCAAAGAATTCTCTGGAACAAAATGAGGCTTTTAATTGCGCTAATAAATGTTGCAGTGTCTTGACTACCAACTTTTGTAAGGAGGGGGAAAAAACCATAGTGTGAGAACTTTAGTTTGTAGATCGGCTTATAAAAAGCACTGACGCTGTTAGTGAATGATTAAGAGCTAATGATCTCCATAGTTTGTCTCCTGTAATTTAAACAATTTTTGCAGTTTTTTATGGGTCTGGGAACACTGACTTGATTACTGCTTACCCAAAATGGTTGTTCCTAGGAACAGCCACTACACTGTGGGCTGAAGGAAAAGAACATAATTTACAAGATTATTTTTTTCCCTGCCCAAATACATAATTATTTGATAGTTTTCTGAGTTGCATTTTACTCTAATTTTATAAACCCAGTGTTGGGTTTTAACTCACCAGGATATGACTTAGGTTTTGGAGGAGGGAAATATGACTTCTAACGAGCCCAAATTCTTAATCGCACCTTTAAGGAATTTCTAGCTTGCTGTGATTAAATGAAACCTGGTGAATCATGGGTGCCTGCAGGCTTATAAACACCATGCCCCAATTGTGGTAACTGTTGTTTGTCTTTCTTTCAGTCAAGTTGTCAGAAACAACATTAGTAACCACCATACAGGCAGCTCTTTTGTTTCTCAATTCCTTCTTTCTCTCTTTGCTGTCTAATTGTTTTCCACTTAAGAGGCTGACTAAGGGAAAAAAAAAAAAAACAAGCCTCATCAGAGTTACCTGAAGATCTGGTAATTTTTCTAGTTCTGTGTGGATTACACTATTAAGAGCTGGATTTTTTTCCACTGTTTAGAGGCTTTAGTCTATGCTACACAAAATCTCACCTTTCTTTCTTCTATTTAACCTCTCTTACTTTCTCTTTCTGCTCTCTCTCCATTTCCTTTTGTCAGAATGACCTGCTTCTCCTGCTGGTTGTTTCCACTTTTCTCAGGCTAGAAGCTGGCCAGGAGCCAGCAAATAAGAAGGAGAGAAGCTTTATTAGAAGCTGTTGTGGAAAGGGGGAAAACTCAGAATTACGCTCAGCGCAGGGGGAAACAAGTGAAAATTTGTGTGCAGGATAATGCTTCCTATGCTGAGAGGACTAAAACAATGTGAGAAAGAAGCATGTAGGAAAAAGTGAGGCTTTGTGGTGTGAGGTAGAAGGGAGTAAGGTGATATAATTGATTCTCTATAGGCAGCTCAGGTAACAGTCAATAGAATTAAGCTTATCTTGGTTTTTTCTTCAGGGTATTAATGAAAGGTCAGTTTTCAATACCTGCTTCAGATGGACAGTAGTTTTTAAAGAATTTTAAGATTAAATAGTTTGTGTTTGTGTGGTTGACAGGCTTTATTTTTGGAAAATATATTGCTCTGACCCTCATGGACCTTTTTGCAACTGAGTATTGAGAAACTTTCATGCTTTTATTATAGAAAATGCATTTTCATGTTAATGGATGGCAGGCTAGGTCAGGGTCCTTCAGAAAATGCAACTATGATTGCTTATTTCTTTTAAACCCAGAGTTTTGAAGACCATGGGAGAACCAGAAGTTAGGATCATGCTACCTTTTCATTAAGGAGGTAGTGCATTTATGTGAGAACAGGATGTCTAAATTACATTTCTTCTTTGCTTCTGGGAATTTGAACCTACATCTCTTACTAACCAGGATGGTGTTTTAATAATCAGATAGTTTCTCAGTGTATGGCTTGAAGGGCTCTGAAGGCATTTTAAGTTGTAGATAAACTCCATTGCTCACCCCCAGATTTAAGATGGCAACTCAAGTCCTCCAGGATTGGGGAGCATCTGTGAACGTTACGTTCATCATGGATCTACTTGCTGCCTTTGACTGCTAGCAGCAGTTTTTGAAGGGTTCAGAAATGTTTTGAGTCTGCAAGCACCAGTTACAGCCTCTGTTTTAGACAGTCCTGGCCATGAGAGTGCACTGACTTGGCTGTCAATCCCAAGTTAATATATTCGTGTTCCCATGTAACTCTATACTGCCATCCCAGTCATGCTGCAAATATTCTTTGTAGATCTGTACAGTAATAGATCAAGAAGCTGATCTGGCTTAAAAAAGCATTACCTGAATAAAGGAGTGATGTGCAGAAGTGTAGGGTTTCAAACACAACTGATGGTAGACAAGTGTCAGGAACAGCTTGAGCCATTATTATCATCAAAGCCAAAGCAATGCCAAATCATGATTTGAGATGCTGCTGACTCAGGGACTTACACAAAGACAGATGAGTCAAGTGGGTGTTGTTCTTTAAAAAAGAAATGCACAGAACTATAGCCTGTTCTTAATGGAAACATTTCTGTGTCTTGAAGCTTCAGAAGAAATATTAAGATGGACAATTCAAAGAGAATGAGTAAGGATTAGCTTGGTTCCCAAATCTACTAGCAAGGGTTGTCTTTTAGGCTCTGGTTTCTTTTCCCAAGGCTCTTTGTGTAATTTTATTTAGTGATTATTTTATGTTGAAAAAAACCCCTAAATACTTGGGTGCATGAATCAGAAACAGAGCACATTAAAACAGGGGGAGACAAATAAATTTGGAAGATGGGAATGTTTCTGCCATAGTTCACTCCATCTAAATTAATGTCCTTTTAAAATCGCCTTTTACATTATATAAACATTTTCCTCTCTTACTTGCATGACTTGGTGCTTTTTTTTTTTTAATATATTTTCATGTGTCATTAATAGCCCTTCTTGCTTCTTCAGTGTCAGAGGGGCCTACCAGACGAGGTCTCTATTTTCTGTACTGCCTTTAGAGCAATAAAATCTGAGTAAGACAGGGCTGTGTCTGTGTGGTAGAAAGAGGGGCACAAGTGGTGTTCAGGTAATGGAATAGAGTGCTGGGCATAGATAGCAGAGTAGTATTCACATGAAGCTTTGGTTACTTACAGCTATGCCTTTTAAAATAGTTTTTAATGGATTATTTAAATATGATTTTGTGTGTTCTAGTGCTAGTATCGATAAAGAAACAATTGCTGGTACCAGTTCACCACAGGCAATGTTGGATCACCATCCTGCGACAGTCATGATGGACTTGCAGTCAGAAGAGGATGTCAAACCTCCTCCTTCTCTGATTATAGACTCACAGCAAAATGAGAACTTAGAACAAGAGGAAGAACACCAGCTGGTGCATATTATGGAAAGGTCTCCTTCAACATCAGTGTCTTCAGTTGATATGAGAGTGATGATGTCTCCTTCCCCTGTACCAAGAAGAGATGAGTTTTTTAGGCTTGAGGTTGGAGAACGCTTTAGACCAATGTGTGGTTATGACCCACAGATGTTACAAATGCTGAAAGAGGAGCATCAAATAATATTAGAAAACCAAAGAAAAATTGGTCTTTATGTCCAAGAAAAAAGGGATGGTTTGAAAAGAAAGCAGCAATTGGAAGAAGAACTGTTGCGAACAAAAATCAAAGTAGAGAAGCTGAAGGCAATACGACTACGCCGTGATCTGCCAGAATACAGCAATATCTAAATATTTTATTACTTCTGTCATATTCTTTGAAATACTTAATAATAAATGCAAAATTGTTTCTTATGTTAATATGGATGAATCAAAACCTGGGCTTGAGACATGAAAGCATATGTTGTTTAAGTACCATAGAAAAATACCTTGTGTGGGTTTGAATGCTCCAACTCTTCTGGTCTAAAGTATAGTCAAATCCATGTTTAAGTGTTTAGATTGATAAAAATCCAAACTTTAAAAACATTTCCACTTACCTCTAGAGTTTTGATGAGCTAATGGAAATTTAATTCAGTTCTTGTTAAAAATTTTGGTCATATACATTATTTTTTCAAATAGTCACCTTTAATATCTTAATGAAGTTGCAGGTAAATAAATGCATATAAGAAGGAGAAATAAGAGGCCATGTTTAAATGTTTTATTCTTTTTAATTTGGTAAATCTTATTACAGTAGTGACGTTTTGCTGATATATCAGCTTGGAAAACAAAATTACTGGATTGTTATATTTTTTTAATGTTCAGTAGACGGTTGAATAAATGCACATCTTTTTAAAAGTTGATACTTTTTAATTGTTTCCAGTGGAGAAGTGTTTCCATAGGATGTTATCAAAATAGAGACAATGAATGCAACACTTGGTTTTTAAAACTGCATGCATGTGTAATTTGTGTGTACAGTTACCATGATTGTGTATTCAGTTATAGTAATTATACTGGTGATCAACCACATAAATATCTACTTTGCTCATTTGCATGCATAATTACTGCAGTGCATGTGCAACCAAGACAGTTGCAGGTGCCTTTGATCAATATCACTATGACTATAAGCTACTGAAATAAAATAGTTTCTGTATGTAAGTAACATGTGACTTGAAATCAACAGCAGATTGTGTTATTCTGGGTCCCTTTTATAGATCCTGTTGTTCCCATCTTTCGATTAGTTTCAAATAAAAAGCCCCAAATGAAAACAAAATTGATTCTTCTGTCTGTCCTGGTAGCAGCTGTTTCCTCTGTAGTTATGATCAACTTTAATAACTGGAAGAAAAATACATGAAAAATATCAGTCCCAGATGATTAATTTCTTCATAATTCTTAGTCTCCTGCCTGTTGTGAATGGATCCACAGCTGCCTTAGACCTCTGGCTCCTTATTCCCTGTAACAATACTTTCCCCTTCCTCTAACCTTTATAGCAAGAAAAGGAAATGAAGGACAGCATCAAGGAAAAAGACAGAACAAAGGAAATAAAATTCCTCTGATGCCTGCCATCTCAGAGGGCCCCAACAACAAAATGAACAAAAGCAATAGGAAGGAGACTATTTCTTCCTTGCTCCTGTCATCACTGTTTTCCCAAATTGGTTTCTTTCTCCACTCCCACGAACCTCTGCATGCAAGCATGGGGCAGTGGTCTGCATCAGCAGACTCTCAGTGAGGTAAGCCTCACACCTTGCTGGTCTTCTGAGTAAATCAGATACCACACGGGTAGGTACTTACTGAAAACTGAAGACTGGAAGCATGTAAGCATAGTTGAGGAGCTAATGGAGCTTAAAGAATTGTAGTTAAATTTTGTGATATAATAATCTTGACTGTCACTGCCCAGGATAACTTTAATAAGTTTCAGGTAGGAAAAATAAAGGGAAGCGAGTCTTTTATTTATTGAGGAAAACTATAGAACAGTGAAAACAGGTGTTGACAATCTGGAGTTCCTCAAAACTTTTTCAGTTGTTTTCTTGAGAAGAGAGTACTGTAAGTGTTCTGGGAATTTTTGTGTGTACTGAAAACGATGATGCCTGGATAAGTGGCCTTTGTTCCAGTACAGTCCTTGGCTTTCTGCTGTGTTTCTTACTTCAAGGACATTGATCTGTTTTTGTGTAGCTGGAAACGCTTCAAGGAGATACTCACTTCTCTGAGTTTACAAGAATCAAAATGCTGGCTTTACTAAATAAATATAGATTTTATTTGTTCTGCTTCTCAGAAATGGGAAACAGCACTAAATTACCTGCCTTGTCTTGTAATTTGGAAATGTCTGATCTTATCCTTTCAGTTGAAAATCAGAATTCTGGTTTCTAGTGGTAAGGAATTAATTTCTAGTTTCTTTTCTTCTATATTATGCAAATGAGCAAGTTTTTAAGAGTTCATAAAATAATTCCCATATGGCTCATTGTCTTGCAGTGGTTTTGAATTATAGGTATTCTTGACACTGGCCATCAAAATGCTCTGGAGACTTCAGGATGTTTTCTTCTGATGCTATATGAAGAGGTGACTTCTACTAGCATGGTATTTTTATTTCAAGGACTAGAACTAGAGGAGTTTTCAGTCTTGGAAAGCTTATAGTCTCTTCTCAACTGGCAGGCAAAGTAGTTGCAAAAATAGGACCCTGCATAGAGCAAAGTCTCCCTTGTGTTCTTGATGTTGGAAGGGGAAGGATGCAAATGAGTGAAGAAATAAAATGCACTGTCCCCTTATAGTTGGTTTCATTGTTCTGACTTTGTGTCACTTGTTAGTGGAAGACTTTTGTTCTTATCTGCAAGCAGCACCTTTAGTTCAGAGATCCCATGCTTCTCATTTGCTGTGTTCTCAGTTTTGTTTCTTTTGACTTTTGGGAAGCTTAGGAAAGGAGGAGAGATCTCTTGAGTGCCCATGGAGCTCGCTCCTTCCTTTACAAGTGAGATGATTATTTCCTTTCATTAGAGAAGTGTTTCCTCCTTCAGTGCCTTTATACTGCCCTCTCAGTTCAGTGTGGTGCTGACTGTATCTTATAACTCTCTATGTTGGTGGATTTGCATTTCTTTCCCACTCCACATCTGCTTTGCAGTATCAGGTTGTCTTTCTGAGTCAGACTTCTCACTTCTCCGTGCCTGTTCCTGTTTTTTTTTCATGTATTTCTAATGCTGGGTACATGCACCACAGCTGTGGCTGGTCCTTCTGGACCATGAAGTGCTATGAATTTTTACTGTTCCAGCAAATGATACTGTGCTAGCATGTGTGAAAGGGATGGAAGGAAGCCCTTCCCTCCTTCACCCTCATTCTTATCCTCTTACTCCCTTTGCTACATCTGGCAGTGCCATTCCCTGTCTGCATGTTTATAATGTACAGAGTACAAGCAGAGTAATTTTAGGCAAGGACAAATTTCTACCATATGTTCATGTCCTTCTACTAAGATAACTGCAATAAACAGGCTGTAGGAGTAACTTAATTCCAAACATCTAATGGATTTATGTTTAGGATTAGAATAAAAAATTGTACCTATGATAACTTTGTGATAATTGTGATAGCATCTTGTGTAATTTCATCCATCCAAGTAACTGGTTAGCAATCAGTCTATAATTTCATTGCTGCTACCTAATTATCTTGCTGTTTTTGTTCCTGCTTCCCCCTGTAAGCTTCTGATTCCTGTGGAATGCTTGCCTAAGATGAGAATTCTTATCAGGTAAAAATGGTGAGAGAGAACACTCCAAGACTGCAAGAGATTGCTTGTAGCTAATTGCAAAACCCCTGTTTTCTAATATTTTCTACTTAACTAGCTTAAATTTATTTCTTTAATTTATACTTCTACACATCTTCTGACTTGGCATTCTCCCCCCCCCAATTAAAACTTGAGCTTGCATACTGTCTTCTTTGGGCAAACTTGTGCTCACTAGATTTCCAATAGTCAAAGCCATTTACTTCCTTACAATTAAATGATAGTTGTTTCTGAGTGGGAGGAAGAAACAAGAAATTATGCTACCCAGGCTGCCTGGCTAAGGTGTCTTTTAAAATTTCCTATGTCTTTTTTTAAAGTGCTTTAAGATGCTTCCATGTCAATTTCAACTTCACTAAAAAAATAAAACAGTAACTCAAGAAGGTGATAAAGTGTTGTTTTCCTAAGATGTTGATTACTATTCCATTTTGCTTATGAAAATAAAAAGAGGCCTCTAAAAAGAACACTTTTAGCATTAAAATGCATTAAATATAGCTTCTCAGTGTGTATACCTAACAAGGAAGGCCATTATTCTGATTTCAATATCCAGGTCTTAAATAATTTAAGAAATCTTACTGCCTGTGTCTTAGAGTAAAAAAAAAAAAAGTGCTGTTTACAGTAGTTAAAATCATGTCTGTTAGCTGTCTGTGTAATACAGGACTAAATTTCAATCATTCTGTGACCTCTGTTTCTGTGTTTTATCTCTTGCTAAAACCAAAAGTATTTGCCTTGGTGTCAACCTGTGTGTAGTGATGCTTGCTCTTGAATGGCATCCAATTTGTCTGGGTAAAGTTTTTCTCCAGCTAAAGATGCAGTTTCCTGAAGTTCCATTGAATGCTAACTAACAAAATGTGGATTCTTCCTTGTAAAACCTACAGTTGTTCAGTGGTAAAATAGATAGCTGAAAACCTTGCTTTTGATTTGTGTGTGTGGGGAGGTGGATGAGGGTCAGAGAACCCAAGGAGAGCTCAGCCATCTGTAGGCATTGGCATTCCCCACTGCCCCTGCCTTTCTTCCATGCTATGGGATTTTCATTCTGTTTTATCCCAGTGATTGCACAGAATCATTTGTTGATGCATCCAAATATCTCTTCAGTATAACACCTTGTTTGCCTCTGTATTACTCACACAAGAAGAATATAATATAATTTCAATTGAATACTTAATCAGCAGTTACTCCATATAATTTATGATTTCTGTTTGCTCTTTAACAAAACTGCAGACTTGGAAAATGCTGCTGATTTTTTTTTTTTTTGTATTTTATACATGCAATTATATATTTTTTGAAAAGGAGTCATTGTTTCCTGGCCATTCCCTTTTGGCTCTTGATTTTCATTTATAGTTAGGCACAATAACTAGCATAATTTGACATAAATATAATGGAAAAACAATTCCACTGGTTTACATTGCCCCTCCAGATTTGGTTGACTTCAGAGCCCAGTGTGGTTAGGGCTGTCATTTTGTTTACAGTATTCTGTGTTGCCGTTTGCTTGCTTTGCGTGTTGTTGAAAGAGTCTTGTCTGTATTGCTAATACTTTCTCAAAATATGTACATTTTCAAAGTTTGGAACTTTCTACATGCTTAAAATAAGTAAACTAGCTTATAAATGACTGATTTTTTTTTTTTTTTACTTTTTTCTAGCTTTCATTTAGCAGAAGCACTTAGACAAAGTGTTTATCTAGTTTGGGGATGGGGAGAAGGGATGTTGGACTGCCTGTGGTTAGTTGCTACAATATTGTTTGTCCTACATTGCATCACATAACAACCTGCAGTAGTGTCGAGTTTTATTTGTTGTTAATCACTGAATATGTCGTGTGAAAGAAGTCATACATCATAACTCAGCAGCAGTTTGCAGATACATTTTCCATAGGCCACTTGCCATTCTAATATGGCATTTGTTTCAGGCTGCACTGTAAGCCACCCCCAGACAAAATTGAATTGTAAGCTCTGCAGGTTTCACCCAAGTAATGTCTGCACTGCTTTGCACTGTGAGGAGGCTTTGGCAGAAGGTTGTACGTGACAAGATGACCTTAGTAGCATTAACTGGCAGTTTGGCCAAGCCACTTTATGCTGTTAACTCCTCTCAGGCTAGACTGTGTGTGTTCTATATATGTGTTTGTTGATGACTCATCTTTTTCCTGTGAAGCAAATTGCAGGGAGAATACTCTGTTTAGCATATATTGAATTTTTCTCATCTTTCCTTTGTAGCGTTCCAGTTTCCCTGTGCTTTTGAAAAAGTACTTGAAACTTGGCATCAAGCTGGTCTTTGGGCATTCATATAAAACCTCACTCAAGTTTGTCTTAATTTGTAAGTCATTAACAAACACAGAAGGTGGTCATTTTCGGAACAAGTTTTTTACACTTTGGATGTAGTCCATAACAACTGATTCTTAGGAATCAGGCCTG